GTACTCTGATGATGACAGTTAGGCGTAAACAAGCAGTCAAACAAAACAGTCTGAGTTACACTGGTAATTGTAAAGTGTAAACTGTTGTCTTGTATTGAAGCCTAACCGTATTTTGAAGCATAAATCAATCAATACACTGCTAAAGTGAAATATCGATCATTGTTGATGTATGAACTTAAGTGTATTCATTTTAAGATGAGAATGACCGATAAGTAGAATGATTGTATTGCACCCTATTTGGGATTATTTCGATACAATATTTGCAAGTTTCAGTTTAATTTTTTTTAGATGACTTTATCAAACAGATGTCTGGTTGTGTATCGCAATCCAAATCATAAGTTGTAAAATTCATTACGACATCTGTTTATTACTTTCAAAGACTAAATATTTTACCACACTATTTGATGCGAGAAAAAAATGATTTCAGCCTTTTAGCAGACATTCCCTCCTCATGGATACTGAACGTGGCCTTTTCTTGGAAGGTCAGGCCATATATCTGTGATTCGTATCCGCCCACGCAAAGTATGCTGTTATTGATTGTTGAGTTAGTCTTTGTTCTTGTTTTTTTTCTCATGACCAAGATATGAGACGTAAACATTGACGTAAATTGCTCTCACCACAATATGACAGATCCTTTCTTTGAATTGGTGCAGCCTTTATCCGATGAGGATTAGGGCGTTTCAGTACATAGACCAAAATCCACCACCATGATTTCATGAAAATTCAATAATTATATGTTAAACTTTTGAACTTTTAGCCTCCTTAAACCCGTTACACTGTGCAAATATCAGCATCGAGCAAGATTTTCCAATGAAAGTGCAGCAAATGTAACGCAACTGAAGAGTATAATGCCGTCGATAATATGTACACCAGAAGAATCTTTTTGTTAATGCAAAATTTCATTTAAAAAGCATACAAAAAATATAATTTGTCATTAAATCACCATAGCAACGGACTTCAATGCTACAATTAACGGGGATAGGCTTAAAGGCATTCGTTGTTTATTATTTAAGTTAATTTTCGCTAGGCTCATAGTTAATCTTTAAACACACTTGTAACTTCTGTCCTAGGAACCGCCATGTCAATACACACCGAACACTTCGGTTCAATATAATCAGTCCACAAGAAACTAATAAGAAGTTCAGTTTAGTTGCCTTACTAAGTGCATGTGCTCAGTTTCATTCATTCACTATGCTGCCAGTTTACAGGAGTATATGCATTGGTGCCTTACGTACAGTAGAATAAACTTTTAACAAGCAATAAAATTTATTTTCAATATATGAGACACAGTGGTCTAAAAGAAAAAGAATAATAAATAAATGCATATTTCCAAATTATTAAAATAAATCTAAAATTCACCATTTAACGTTTCAAAATACCACAGGTTATTTATCTAAAAGATGTTTTCTAATAAAGAAGATGAAGCCATTTCCAAACTACAAATTTACATTTTATTAGATTTGGCTAATAACAAGGTCAATCGATGGCCAGATTTGAATTTATTGATTTAGAAAGGAAATTGGTGCATTCAGTTTGTGATACTCCAATATATATATATATATATATATATATATATATATAATTTCCTCTTCCACTCTACAATTATATACACACATTTATATTAAAATACACAGAGTATTCTAGAATAATCGTCATTAACAATATTGGTATTTTTAAATAATATCGATTTGTTGAGTAAGATCAATGGAATTACAGTTCAAGAAAGATATAATGATAATAAGCAAAAAATACAATAGTGAATATAATATCAAGTAAAATTAAGGAAATTTCTACAACAAATTGAGGATTATTAAAACCTTGTTTAACGGTTAAGGTAAGGACAGTGTCTGAACCAACCAAATTCATTTAGACACATAGATTAGGCTTTTTAATATGGATCCCAACAGTCAGTTTCAGCAATATATAGTAGACGATCTCTTAGGGTAAAGTTGAGATAAGTTGGTGTACGGTTGATAACTTTGAAAGCCTCGTTAACAACAATCTTGTGTTCTTTATCCACAAGATGAGATAGAATAGAGCTATGGATGAACTTTATTTCTTCCTTACTTAACCACTCAGGATGGTGTTTATAAATCTGACGAGAAACACGCCTAATTGTATGGCCTATGTAATTGGCTTCACAGAAGCAGTTAAAATGTTAAATACCCATGGAAGAGGTGAAATTAGGCAGTTTATTTTTCACTTTTAAACGCAAACTAGGGGTGGTTTTGAAGACAACATAATTTAGCAGCCTTGAATGTTCTTTTAACCGCTGTATTCCTTAGGCGTTGTGTTAATATCTCACGAATGTTATTCCCGAGGATTTGAAGTTGTAAGAACAAGGCATTTTTTTGGAATTGTTGGTCCTTTGGCCTGGCCTGACTTTTGATTCATACTGATATGGATATTCTGTGTAGCATTACATTTTTATGCTTCTTATAACTTATGAATTTTTCGTGAACTGTAACTCCATTGATCTTTCTTAACGAATCGATAGTATTTAAAAAACACCAATATTGTTGATGATGATTATTCTAGAATATTCTGTGTATTTAGATATGTACATAATTGTAGAGCTGGAAGAGGGAATTATCGAAAAGAATATTCTTTGGTCAAATTTTCTTTTGTCTTCTGAATGTCTGAATGAATATTTTCGCCATACACCTATCAGTGCAATGTCTCCGAAAAAATATTATTTTCACGTTTAAAGGTTTATGAAGTTCAAATTTAACGAATAATCTTAGTTCATTTCCCTCCCATCAAATAGGCGTCTATTTTACCAGTGAAAGCAAAGACATAACCAATTGATGATTTATTTTAGCCGGCATTCCATTCACCACCACTCTGGATAAGGAAGCCATGATTATTACCAATCACCCGTTCTATCCGTCTCCAATACCTATGATTTTGAGTTTATAACAAAATTATAAGTTTCCAGACCGTAGGTGTTACGAACTTCCTGGAATAATTTGAGCGCTGAGTCAGATTGATTCATTATAAATTATTTAAATTAATCCCAGCGTGTTAAGAAAATCAAAACAAGATTTGTCTGAACGTCTCACTGTGTAAGCCACAGTCTCTTCAGCAGATTTATTCGGATTTTTATTAATCATCAAAAGATATATATATATACATATATATTTAAAATTTTTTACATAAATTGAAGTCAGTTTATTTGAAGGTCATTTGTCCATGGATATTTTCGCCAACGGAAATATGTAAGCAGTCATCACATATATGTGATACCAAAAAATCAAAGGAGTTTTCATAGGAGATAATTAGGTTATTTGATTTTTCAGAAAATACCAACAATAGAATTGAAGAGAGTACTGAACTCCATTTGATCACAAGCAAATCTATGAACACTCTAATCATGTAAATGGATTATTTTCAGATTATAGGATTTGTGGAGGCATGATTAATTTTAGTTGTTAAATTTAGTCGCAAACCAACACCATACTTTCAGTCCATTGGAAACTAGGGGGCATTGGACAACTGTTTCGTCCTATTTTGGCAGTCTTCAGATGTGGGCACCAATGATCTCTTCAGTTTACGAAAACAGGTGCTTCTTGACCATTCAGACACGGGCTGGAGTTCAGTGGTTCGTGAATTCTAACTTTGTCAATCCGTGATATTCACAGCTTTCCTCGTCAGTGCCTTCAGTGAGCATCCATTTCACCCTGACATGGTAGACCCCACTGATCACAATTTATTACTGCAGCTGCAGGACATCTATCCAGCAGTCATCAATAAGTTGGCGATTGATATTCAGATAATGGGATTTGTGTGCGTCGGTGGCATAGCGGTTAGGACGCTCGCCGACAATGTACGTGGTCCTGGGTTCGATTTCCGGTAGCCAACGCACTCCGACACCTCGCTAAGCCAGAAATAATTCTGGTGAAGAGGAAAGGTTGGGCATGAGGCTAGCAATCCCATCCTGTAAAATAAACACTGCTGCAGAAACTTCAAGCCAATAACTTGGAGCCCTATGTTCCACTGGGGAACATGAAGGAAAAAAAAGGAATTTGTGAGGATTCTGATTAATTTCAGCTGTCAGTTTTCATTTTCAGTTCAATGAAATAATTTTGTAGAGTGACAACATACACCGAACACTTCAGTTCAATATAATTAGCCCATAAGAAACAGAAATTTAACTTAAATAAATAAGAAGTTCAGTTTAGTTAACTTACTGAGTGCATGCGTTCAGTTTCTTTTATCCTGTATACTGCCAGCTTACAGGAATTGATGCTCGCTAGTAACTTGTTACACGACGGAGTTTCCTGGAGTTCTAGTGAGAAGTCGTGACCAGTGTGGTCCATTCAGTCAGGAGTGGAGATGGATTTTCAGCCAGTGACATTGGTTAGTGGTCGCGCTAAATGCTTCACGAATTGGTAGAAATTAGAATTCATGGACTATCGAATCGGATCCCATCGGCTTAATGGTCTACGAGCTTGCCTTGTGACCTAAGGGCCCCGAGGTTCGAACCCCGGTGGTGGGTGCGTACTGCCAATGATTCCCAAACTGGCTGTCCAGTACTCCCTGTGTGTTTTCAATGGTTCTCTAACTGATATCAATCCGTTGTCAAACTCGTAAAAACAAATCTAACCCTTACAAACAAACTCTTGAAAAATAAAACACCAATTGTTAAATAGTTAACTGACACTCCGAAGATTCCCTATGAACACTTTTCTTGTTTTATTTCAAGACTATAAGTACTGTACTTTTAAGTACTACTTCTGTTGTCATATCCTGAATACTTAGTTCATGCTTTCATTTCATCATCTGATTCAGTTGTGTATCACTATGGACGCATTCACAAATCAACGTCATTTAGCAAACCATTGGAAATTTAAGAGCAGATGGGTACCTGTTTTCTTCATGTTTGATAATGTTTAGAGTAAGATTACTTGGATTCATAAACAAGAGTGATTCTTAAAATTTAATTTCATAATTAAATGTGATTACTGATTAATTTTAAAATATATTTATATATATTTTAGGTTACATCTGCGAAAATCACAACAATCCACCAGATTTCTTCATGGATGTCATACATGGTGAATGCTTACGTCAACAAGGAAGTGCTTTAGGTGAGCATAAACACACATACACTTCAGATTATCCATATCTTATTGAAATTTGCACCAATATCGAAAGTAGCGTGAATAGTAACGTAACGACAGAAGACAAGGGCCAAGCAACAGATTGTTTATTGAGAAAATGAACAGATATTTATAGATTTTCATGTAGGTTATTATTAGCGTTATTGTTAGCAGAGAAGCAACGTCTTCTGATTGGTTGTTTTCCTGCTGAAGGTTATTCTGTACTGCTTGTGACCATTTCTTAGAAAGTTAAGCCATATGTCGGCGAATCGTATTTGCACATGTTAAGTCTGCTGTGATTGGTTGTTAAGTTACTCAAGGTTAGGCTTTGTTACACTTTTTTCCTCATGGCTCTGATTCAGGACGCAAAAATTGGTGTGAACTGTTGTCTCCAGTTTTGGTTTGCAGACAGCTCTCATCACAACAGTACTTGTTGTAGATCCACATCTACCATATTTTACTCCAGTTTTAGAGAGAATTCGTGAAATCGATTGGAAACACTTATGTGATCAATAATCAGTTCGGTGTTTGTCATAGTTCTAGATGCATCATTAATTAGTTAACGTTGATGTTAACGAAAATTTACCATAAAATGAAGTTTCGCGAAATCCAAATATCTGGAAACCACTGACGACTCTCGTCATTTTTCTTCTGATATCCCTGTGAATATTTAAGTCAGTTTGCTGACTAAAATGTGGGCGTCCCTCATTAACCTTAAGCATGTAATTTCTGGTTTATGCATCCCACATTCGAATAGCCATTCCATTCAATTATAACCCCGGAACATGCAGGTAGCATATTTAGTCACCAACACTCAATTGTGGCGCATAGCCTACAACCTATAAGATGTCCGTTGTTGAATAAATTCATAGCAGAAACGTTCTGTGTCTAAGTAACAGTCGGACTTCTGCTGCTTTTTTTTTGCAAACAGTGTGCGCTTGTTTTGAAAGTTAAAAACCAGGGAATACTGAATAACCATTTCGTCCTAGTTTGAGATTCTTCATCAGTGCATTTCCATGTCCTGACTGGTGACTGAATATGAATAATATACTAAAGTATCGACTCTGAAGAGACTTTAGAATTAATCAACTGAGGTAGTTTTTGAAAAATAAAATGAAAGATTAGTCAAGTGATGGTTTGTAGGGATTTGACTGGTTACAGGATTTCATCATGAGTTGACATCGGTTAGAGAATCATTGAAAAATCTGGGAGTACTGGACAGCTGTTTCGTCCTAGTTTGGACTCTTCAGCAGTAAGCACCCACTTGGGTTCGAACCCAGGACCTTCTGGTTACAAGGCGAGTTCGTGTTTCATTAAGCCGCTGGGTTCGACTCTCAGTGGGTGCGTAATGTTGAAAAGCCTCAAACTAGGACGAAACGGCTATCCAGTATTCTAGGTTTTCCAATGGTTCTCTAACCGATGTTAGCCCATGATGAAATCCTGTAACCAGTCAAATCCCTAAAAACCAACATTTGAATATCGATGAGATGCTCACTAGTGACTTGTCCTATTCAAGTAGGTAGTTACCTGGGATTCTAGGGAGAAGTCGTGACCAGTAGAGTGCAGCAGGTCAGGTTTGAGGAGAAATACTTGTCGAGGACGTTGGCTAGGGGTCGCGCTATGTCGTGAATTGGGAGAAGTTAGAATTCATGGGCTGCCCATTGGATCGGGTCCCAGTGGCTTAATGGTCTACGAGCTTGCTGGCCTTGCAACCAGAAGGTCCTGGGTGGGTTGGTGGGTGCGTACTGTTGAAGAGTCCCAAACTAGGACGTAAGAAACAGCTCTTCAGTACTCCCATTTGGTTTTCCAATGGTTCTCTAACCAAAAGATTAGCCGTCTAGACCTTGATCAACGTTTTGAATACTGAAAAGTATTTATGTTAGGTAGTCATTGTTGACTGGTAAAAATCAATGTATATAGGTCTCGTGAATTTTTTTGAAGTCTTTGATTAAAATGATTAAAACAAACGCAAAACTAGTAGTAGCATTGGAGTTGCTCAATAAATTAAATAGTTAAAAAAAAAAAACAATTAAACCGCTTTGAAAAGTTTTATATTTCTTTGTTTACTTTACACGCGTGACTGCTTTATCGATGAGATATTTAACCTGATCGATAACACTCAGAATTACCAAATACCATTACCAACCTTGGAGTGACTAAATACTATGAAATTGTTGTCAGCATGGTAGTCTAGATATTGCAGTCGGAGTTATTGTTTCTCGTCGTGCTTCTCTCTTTTGCTATTATCATGACTTTTAGATCTTAGTGATATTTTCATGCCCCAGTTGAATTTGAAGTTTCCATTCGAAATTAAAATAGATTATTTGAATGATGCTCACACTACCATAGTAACCAGTTACTATAGTTACGTGGATTATATTTCTCTACACCTAGTATTTATATAATAGTTTTTATTTACCTAAATGACATGCTATATAAAAGATTTTAATTAGGAATCATTGGGCCTTCCAGTCAAATATTACATGATAAAATTTCGATTAAAACAGAGTATTTTGTTCGTTAAAAAAATATTATCATTAATAGGTGCCTGATTTGAATATTGTATTACCTGTTAAAATTAACACAAAAAATTTAAGGAAAAGGATTGATGATTTATATATTATTATTTAATAATTCCGTTACCTTCCCAGTGGAACATAGGGCATCAAGCTGTACGCTTGAAGTTTCATTACCAGTGGTGTTTATTTTTACAAGATGGGGTTGATAGTCTCATGCCTAAGTTTTCTTCTTTACCACTCTTATTATTGGCTTAGTGAGGTTCGGGAGTGCGTCGGTCGGGGATCGAACCCCAAACCACATGAAGTGTGGTTGGTGGGCATTTTACCTCTGCACCGGCGACGCACTAAGACCTAGGTTTCGTGCTAGTTGATACTCACCAGTCAGCAAGGCGTATCTGCAACCTTGAAGGAACTCATGTCTCTTCTGATATTCGAACCCATGTCACCCAGTGAGAGCTGCAGTCCGAGAAGTTATCACTGAGACATTCGGGCTCGGAGAACCAATAAAAACCGACAGGGAATACTGGAGAGCGGATTCATTCTGGTTTGGGGATCATCGACAGGAGGCACCCACTAGGGTTGGAAGACAGGACCTTCCTGTTACAAGGCAAGCTGATATCCCATTCAGCCACTGGGAGATTCATGATTTAATATGAACAAATTTATCACTTATTTTGTCCGATATTCAAATCTGAATAGCAAGTAAGTTCACGCTGCCTAGAATGTAAATCATCAGTCGCGTTAATGAGTATGGATAGCTTTACTTATCACAATGCATTTTGAATGATGCAATTAACAAGAGAAAACGGAAATCCTAGTAAAACAAACAGAACGATAGATTTAAGAGTGCAAAAGAAGAATAATTCAGGAATATTGAACAGACTGTGACACTGTTCTTGACAATCAGACAAAGATTATGAAATGTAGAATAGGTGTGATGACAAGCTACTTCCACAAACACATTAGGAACTTAAGTTTGTGAACTTCTATCCCCTGGTAAATGTTAGTATTCCTCTTTGAATAGATTTTAATAAAATTTTTAATGTATTTCGATTAGAGAAGTTGTTTGCAGTCTAACTTATTGAGTTTTCAAGCTGTTTGGTTGATGTTTAACCATCTTTAACAGTACAGAGGGTACTCACAAATAATCGTTTATTCAGTGTTAAGTTTCTTAGCAAAGCATATTTTTCTTTCTGCAAGTTATGGTAAGCTGGGCTGCGTAGTAGGCTTCACGGTATGTTTCTGTTATACAGTCCCACTGTACGTTTGGCATCCTTAGCGCATCCCTCTTAGAAGCAAAGTGAAGATTGAGTTATAAAGGCGACATCCGTCTGCATCATTTTGAAAATTCCTTCAAGTATATCTTTGATACCACAGTACCAGTAAGTATTTTAGCGTCTGTGGTTTAGGGGTGGGACACTCATCAACCACTTAAGTGGCCTGGGGTTCGCCTCCTGTTCAACGCACTCCTAAACCTCACTCAGTCGTAAGCAGGCCAGTAAAGAGGGAAGGTTGGGTGTGAGGTTAGCAACTTTGCCTCTTAAAAAAGAAACACTTATGCTACTGAAATTTCACAGCATAAGCTTGAGGTCTTTTGTTCCACTGGGAACTCAAAGGAGTAAAATAAATAATTATAAATAAAAATAACTAGAGAGTATTTCACCCTTATTTATACATTGTACTTTTTGTATAGTTATTTTAGATCCCAGGAACTAGTACCTGATTAAAACTGTCTTGTATTTAATCAAGCAAATCCTGTGGGAATTCAAGTTCTACTTTGTTCAATCAGGCTTTCATTGGTTTAGAAACTTTCTTGAACCACTACTAAATATTTTACTCAAGTGTAATTACAGGCTCAAATTGACTGCCGTTTTCTTCTCGTTTTTCACATGCAGGAGTGATGCACTGTTGTCTATCTATTTCTTGATTTTCATATAAATTGGCTTGATAGGTAGATGTTCTGAAAAGATCTTTCTAAATGCAGCATTCAAATTTATTAGAGTATTCTGATAAACCGCCCATTTTAATAATGCCTCTAAATTAATCTCCCGAAGAAGAAAATTCGAAACAGAGCATGATCGTAGAATTCTGTCTCATTTTACAAAAATGGTTCACACAAATCATGTTTTGTCACAAGTAAGATAGAAAAAATTAATTTTTACGGAAAATGCCCATCCAAACATGAATATAAGAACAAAAAGTTCAGCGAAGAGTCTCTTTTCGACGAATTCATTCACTTAGCTGTGCAGCTGTATTTATATATAATTATTTTCTGTGTGAATGTGTACATTTTGACTGTCAAACAAAAGTAAAAATTATTTTGGGTTATTGTTTGCGTCAATAAAACGTTTTTGATGTAGTTGTATTCTCTGAGCTGGATGGTTCATTTGCGAAGATTTCATTGTTCTACTAGACAACATCTTCAGCGCATACTTCAGTTTGTTGAAGTGAGCTTTTAGATTTCTCCAC